CCGATTTGGACCAAATTAAAACCGAAAATGTATATTGTCAAAAACCTGCCGTATGCCAAATTAGATCCCTTTATGAGCAAAAACAGGGAAGGTAGATTTATTTACACTTAGTTTCAATTATTCCTATGACAGCTATATGATATGGTGGTCCGATCCAGCCAGTTCCGACTCATATCCAATTCAATTCAATTTGAGTACCCAAAAACTTTTTTTGAGATAACAATATGTATCGATTTCAAATTATTTAGCTGAATGCTTGCTTAACTGCACAATCGATTGGCTTTTGGTCAATCTTATCCGTCACCAGCTTATCCGTCAGAAGAGGCACTAATGCACAAACCCGTGTGGAACAGGAATAAACAGAGATATAGCGGCATAAATCCAGCAGGTGACTAGCGACAGGTACATACTAGCGATATGATAATCCGAAGGCGGATTGGGCCGTAGGCGATGGGTGTGGCATTTGCACCTGCCAAGCACCGGCACTTACCCGTAGTTTTGCCAAATAAAGATTGTCACACAGCCGCGGCACAAGAACAAATAAAAAAAACAATCGGTCTGAATGGATAGGCGGGAACTTGAGCTCGAGAACTCGGCAAATTGGTAAATCGAGAACTCGCGGACTCCACCGAACACTCGACCGTATCGGCGAGCGGACTTTTTCGAACTGAATCGCAACGCGAGCCAATCATCCTTTTTTATCAATAGAGCGCAATCTAGCCCTGTTCCATAGAAGGAAATCCATAAAACAAATAGCATTTATTCATTTGGTCGGCTAAAAAATGATAAGCTCAAACTCTTTTTCGGTACAGACATATGTCCGCGTTCGATTTTGTGATGTATCCCCAATACATAAGGAATGTATAAAGCCCCAATATCGGAAGGGAACCTAATACTATTGGATTACTCGCAATTCGATGGCATTACTTTTAATATTGGCCAATTACAAGGTTTATTTAATTACTCGATAAAAACAGCGACAAGTTATGACTAATTCAAAAACCCTTAAAACTTCTAATTCTTTTTCACTTATTCAGCCTTTGAGTTGACTCATAACGGACGCGTGGCTGTTGTCATTATGTGTGAGCCCTATTTTTTGTCGAATATTATTACTTTTCTGACATACGCCCGCCACTAAAGTATAAAATTTTATGATTCAAGTTAGTTATGGTTAATTGCTTATCTGGCTTATGTGAAGTTTGAGTTGTCATGTTAAGATGGTGACGAAGTTAACCCTTGACTATTGCGTTTGGACAGATCAGCTATTTGGCAAAATTCTTAAATACCGTGTTGCTCAAATCTTTGACTATACATATACGGATAAATTTTCACGAACCCTGCTCTTCGCCTAGGTCTTATCGCAAATCAATTTGAACGATAAATTTAGAACTAAAATCGAATATTATATTGCTGCTCAAGAGTTTCTGCATGCTTTGGGCCAAAAAGTTTGGAGTAAACTGTACGCGTTCTGTAACGAATGGCCAGATACTTAAGGTTCTCACGAATGGTAAAAAATATGATATAAATCTACTTGTGAGGGGTTGCATTCAAATACTATTTACCCACAAAGTTCCTCGACTATTAGATACTTTACTCAGATAGTGGAAGGGCAAGGAAGAAATTTTAATATCGAAAAAACAGTCAGGACTAGAATATTCGAATATTTAATTTAATTTAATTAATTTGTATATCTTTCACTTCAATGGCGAATGTTTCCATGGCAGCTCTATGATATATTTACTGGTTATATGTCTTTAGTGCAAAAAATAAAATGAATGTAGAAAAAAATCCTTCGAGCCGGATTTGAACCAGCGACCTATGGATCCCTGCCGTTGTGATTAACCATCTACAGTCCACCGCTCTACCAACTGAGCTATCGAAGGGGCGATGGGCGCTGCGGCTGAGCAGCTAAACTAGAGCTACGAAAAACGAAGCCACACGAACTAGTAAAAGTGAAAGGTAAGCTATGAGATGCGCATAGCTGGCATACATATATTATAGAGAAATTTAAAATTAAGCAGTGTCGACGGGGGCAGAGATTTTGACATAACCTTCGATAGCTCAGTTGGTAGAGCGGTGGACTGTAGACGGTTCCAAATTGAATGCAGAATGCAAAGCAGAGATCCATAGGTCGCTGGTTCAAATCCGGCTCGAAGGATAGTTTTTTTTTGGCCCCAACCCGTTTCGAAATGCCATGGTTTGCCCAGGGTGATCTTGAACCATAAAGTATTGGACTCGAAGGCACCCAATAGCAATACGATGCGGAATGTTGATATGGATTGTTTCGCAGAATGTATCGAAAGCAGTAAGAGCTCCATTCATCACGAGGACCTCTCGCACTTGCTGACTAATATGGAGCAATGAATCATCGATTGTCGTTGATGGCGACGCCTAACATTTTGACATGTGACGCACATAAAAGAAGCAGCACTGTACTATCGCCAACTGATTGGCCAATTTATCGGCTAATTTAGCATTTCTCTTGGAGGTGAGGTGATAATAGTGGCATTATCGTGCCTACCCACGCTACCCATTCACTTCCCAGGGGTCTGTTAGACTAGAAAGTTTAGAAACTGATAAAGCTTACTTATCGTAAAACAAACATATGTAAGGTTGGGCCTATTAGTCATATTAGCAATCTCATTGCAAGATCATGCTCTCAAAATCCAGATAAGAATAACGAATACCCTCGTTTTTGATTTTTAAGTAAAGAGTATACGGTATATGGGTTTAGTATCAGATATGTTCATTCAGTCGACCAATCGGAAATCAGAACATGTATATCCCCCAATGATCGTTATACACTTTTTAATAACATGGAACCACCCATAAAAAATTAAATAATGTTCAATTATTCTTGCACTTACCCCTTGTACGTTTTGCAGGCGATAATTGAAATTGCAACTCTGTTTGTTTTGCACAGTTTGTTGTTCTTGCGATTAAGTGCGGGCCCACTTAGTCATAAAAATTAGTACTACATTGGTCATTACTGCATAATGGATTGTCAATCAAATTGCTGCAATTGCAATTAATTATTTAGGCTGACGCGTTGCCCTTTATGCAGTTGTATTTGCAGTCACTAAAATTGGTATATTAATAATTAATTATTTGCGTATACTATATCAATTGCGTATACTATAACGCATTTATTAGAATAACAGGGCTGCACAGCACTGCATTAGTTCATCGAACTAAATTAAGCCCTGAATCGGGATTCGTAAACTATTTTAAAACAAAAACTCTTAAGCCACTTTGGTTAATTTCGAATATTTTGCACAGTATTTGCACATATATACAATATATACAATGTAAATGTATATCTATATATGTATGTATATTTAAAAACCAAGTTATGGGTAAGCATAAAACCTCAAGAAATGTATGTAGTTATTTGCTTATCTTGTGCATGGGTTTCGCCGTTAAGGGTGTTATGAACTTCAAAACCCTTGCGATCGCATTTACCAGCCCTGGGAATTAACGGTCAAAGTTCAATGGCGGTGCGCTCTAACTGTAAATGTCACTGCATCACTTGAGGATGCGCATGCAACACTTAACGCCCGGGAAAAATGTGTGTATGCACCGTTATACAGACAACTTTGGCGCCTCTCATAGAACCGTGCAAGTGTGTGCGTGCGTTTTGGCCAAAATATTCGAAAAACAACTTTTCACATGCGACAACAGCAACAACTACGAACCGGCGACTCTGCTGCAATAACTCCGATTTCGCCCACTGTACGCCGCCTAATGATTATTCCGCACAAACAATGCAATACACAAACAACAAATGTATATTATACATAAGTGCGTTGTATGAATTTAGGGCTGTTAATAGTTTTTATCTTTTGCTGCGTCATTGAGCTGCCCAGAAGTTCATAGGTTAATCAATTATGGCAACACCGTACGCACTTCTATTTGATTTGGTTTTATATCAATAGTTTCGCTTAATTTTTGTTTTTGGGACTGAACAGCTGTTGCCGACACACACACAGAAACGCACGAGAAAAAAATGATAAAAGAATTGTAGTACTTCTAATGTCGCCGGAGATGCCAAGCAAAATGAATAGAAACGAACGGTTAGGCGGCAATAACATCAATGAGCGCGCAGAGCGCAAAGCAGTGCTGAGCATTCAGATTCCAGCTATTGTTTTCTTTGCGGTAGAATTTGTCTAATGGCATTTATCAACATATTGTAAGCGGGCTAACAAAATCTTTTCAAAATATACAATATTCATGCTTATTTGTTTCCACTAATGTAAGTTAAGCACCACGAAAATAGGAGCAACTGTTGATTTACTTCTAAAGTTTCTCTAGACCTTTGAAAGCAGCTTTTTTAAAGCCAAAATGTGCGCCGCACTAGGGTAACAAAGAGAGCGAATTACAACTGTTACGTCAGCTGGCATTGAAAGTGAGAGCGAGCAATATTCTAACGACAAAAATATGACCATCGATTATTCGTCTATCGATAGCTGTTGCGCGCTTAGTGATAAGTCTTAAAATCTTTTTTGAAATTAGTTTCAAATCTACTTAAATCCGCTCAATTATTTTTAAAGTGCATTTTTGCAAAAAACTTCTAATGTCATTGACAGCTTATAGTAGTACAAAATGACACCTGCTGCTAAACTACCTATTCATCAATTATCAATTTCTAGTCCAAAATGTGTCAGTGGAACGATGATTTCTATTGGGCACACAAATGAAAAATGAATGCGTGCACGTGCAGAACTTCCCAGAACCTGTAAACTTCCCCAGGGATTATTATTAATTATGCAAAACCACACGTGTGGAACCCTCAAAGTTCTCATTTGTTAAAAGCGGGAAATCCCACATTTTCTACGGCCTTCGTCTGGACAACCGAGGCCAGACATTGACCTCCGAATGACTTGGCCAAAGCGTCAACGAGCATACATACATACATATGAATTACAGAGAGATATGAGGTATACTTCAGATTTGGTTGAGTTAGTTAGCCACCCCCCTTAAAAACATTTTAAATCATTGTTGAAAATGTAATAAATTTTACATTTCAACACTGCTTAGAAACATTTTATGGTACGGTTTATAGAACATGCGTGGCATAGCGTGGTATAGAACGGCACGGCTTCCCCTATAACTGATCGGAATTACTTCCTTTCCCTGCCCCAGTTGGGGCCCGCAGTTTCCAGGGGGAGGGGGCCCTCCGTCTGGACGAGATGGTGCTTCAACTGGGCCCGTGTCTCCTGCACCTGGGCTACCACACTGATCATGTCCGCCTGGTAGATGCAGTAGTCACTGATGTTTAGACGCGACTTGTTCTTCTCCATGGAGCCATATAGAAATGAGTAAACGATGTGGCCAACGGGCACGTAGAACTTGAACCAATTGTTAAGTCGACCTCTGAAACACATATAAGAAACACATCATAAGAAATAAGTTATTATGAAAAAACAAATTATTTAAGAAAAAATCAAGTATTGATCCAGTAAAAGTGAACCCTATTTAAACGATAACAAGTGAAGATTAAATTATATCCAAAATAAATTTATATGGCTGCGGGCAAAGACTTACACTAGCTCGGATCTGTTGTGCAGGAAGTTGACGAACTTGGCCAAATTTTCAACATCCTTACGCAAACTGAAGGAGAGAAAAGAGTGATTATTGAACGATGAACCAGAGGACATAGCCCTGTTAAACCCACTTCTCCTCCGATTCGGCGAGGGTGGATCCATCGCGGATGAGCCGAATCTCAAGATAGAATCCATGGCTGTACTTGTATCGCAGATACTGCAGACTACCGATGGCCAGCATCTCGCTGTCCTGAAACAGGATAATAAAGTCGGCAAGGATCTTGCACTCGAGTTCATCGTTGGTGGCAAAAATGATCGTCTTGCCGCAGTATCGGATATACCGAAGGATATTCCAGATTTCCCGCCTGGTAGTTGCCGGCATGCCGCAAGTGGGCTCGTCCAGAACGACGATCTTGTTGTAGGCCACCAGTGCCATGGCGATTTTTAACTTCTGCTTCTTCTCCGCCGTCAGCAAACTGCACTTTCGGTGCATCCACCCGGTCATGTTGAGCATGAGACAAAGATCATGCATCTTTTCCCCGATCTTAGCCTCGGGAACACCACGGATCATGCACAACAGCCGGATGTGCTCTCGGGGTGTCAAGTCGCGTAGGAGTCCTTGGTGCTGCGGGGAGTAGCCCATGTAGGTGTGGATGCTTTCCAGATCAAACTTGAAGTCCAGACCACGCACGTAGATCTCGCCAAAGGCGAATCCATCCTGGCCCACCAGCTGCCTCATCAAGTGACTTTTGCCAGAGTTGCGAGGCCCAAAGATGCCCATACTCATGTATCTAAAAAAACACACAATAGTGGTGAATAAGTAAAAAGTTCGAGCTTAGGGAAAAACAAGACTAATCTCACTAATCTTTTTTTCGAAAAAAATTAACATATAAGTAAATAACTTTCTAATGGCGCGATACCAACAATAAGTAGATGGATATTAATGTTATTAATTTTAATAACATTAATAATGTAGTGAGCGTGGGAACGTTTTGAAACAAACTGCTTAGAGCCACTGGAATCTCATGCCTAATCGCAGCCTTCTAGGTCTTATAGTTCCTGGGATCTTGTCGCTTATACGGACGGACAGACAAACGGACAATCGGGCAGACGGACATGGGCAAATCGACTTGGCTAGTGATCCTTAATGGGGCTTTCTTTCTTATGTATATAGGGGACTACTCCACACTCACTTGTTCAGGGCAAAGGAGACAGTGTGTACCCTTTTGCCAGCAGCTGGGACTCTGGCCTCCACCTGATCCACTAAGAAGACGGACTGCTTGGCCTTGGCGTTATCCGCTTCGGCGATCTTTTGCTTCACGTCCGCCACATCACCATCGTCGAAGGGATACGTGGCGGTTCTCATATTACTAAGACTGTCGGAGAATCGTCCTTTTTTATAGGAGGAAGCCTTTCCATATATTACAAACTCACTCTCTGGAGGTATGGAACTTCTTCTCCCTGCGATGCAACTCAATCCAGAAAATCAGCATTAAGAATATTAAAGCGGACACTACCATGTACACCATGGGCGGCAAAATCCCCGGTGAAGCCCACTTGAACAAAGTGTCAACTAGATAAAACCAAAAATTAAATAATAAAATGAGTAATAAATATTAGTATTAATATTAAAAAGCATTTTTAAATAAATTAAAAATGATAACTAAAATGGAGGGTAAATGATGGAATATCCAGACGGGAGACTCACATTTGCAATTCGGCACCTCCTCGTCCATGTTCTCCTTCGTGCAGGTGTCGAGCGCCTCGCACTTGTCCTTGCAGATTGCCTGCTCCAGATACTGGGCGTACACATTGCTGATTCCGTCCAGGAGCGAAAATCCGGGCGACATGCAGGCGGCGTAGAAGAAGATCTTATTGCTGTTCGCGACGTCCCAGTAGATGATATATACTACCAATCCAGACACTCCCTGCAGGAGTACGGAAACGAGAAATGCCCGGATAATCGACTTGTTCACGTACATGGACACCAGGTAGGTGAGTGGCAGGGCCGCCAGTCCGAAGATGGTCAATAGAAGCACCAGGATAGCATTCTCGTGGAAACCAAAGCCACCGATGCCCATCAAGCTCATGATAACCACAATGATGATCGAGTAGACGAAGAAGGTGAACCAGTCCCAAAACAGATTGATGCCCCAGAAGACCTTCAACCCAAGTCCGGCCATGTGCTGCAGGAATCGAACATCGCATATCTCCTCCTCCACCAGGGGGATGACGAAAACGGACACGGTCAGCGGTATGATGCAGCCGACAACCAAGGGCACATGGATGTGCGCGATCTTGTTGTCCAGCACATTGATCTTACGGGACAGCTGTGTGGGCAGCGGATGGTTCTCCACCAGGACAACTATATCCTTATCCTCGGGATATGCAAGTCTAAAAATAATAAAAAGCACAGTGGTCGATTTAGTCGTGTACATCGCCAATTAGAAACCCATAACTCAGCTAATAGAACTATGTATATACTAGAACGACTGAAATATGCAACCAGAAAGGTTGAGGGTGGTAGTGTGCGTCACTAGAATCTCCTCCTCTCTAGCTCGCATAGTTCCAGAAATCACGCCATTCATACGGACAAATTGACGGACGGACAAACGCACAAGGGTGATCCTAATCGATGGTATATATACTTTATAGGGTTGGAGAGCTCCCTTGTATACCTGCTGTATACTCTTCAACAAATCTAGTATTCTTTAATATAATGCAAACTCTCACCTAAGCATGACATTTTGCAGCAAATTGAGCATCATGGGAGCCGAGTGAAATATATCCTGGCTTATATAGCCGTTTAGGTGCTGGTCCCCGTCCGCCTCCACTGCCCCAAAACTGCTCAGCTCGTTCTTCTTTTTAAGATCGTTCCGATAGCTACCTTTTTCACAAACAAAGGATTGATCATTAAAAGTTCGGGAGACATCGACGCTTCTCTTCTTGTTAGCTTTCACCGCTGACCGGATGTCGATGTACCCGCAGTCCTGCAGTCTTGGCATGTTTTTGATCACGTCCTCTTGGTCCTTGAAACCGATGTGAATCGAGTTCTGGCGCTCTTTCGGCATATCGAGCAGCACGGACAAGCGGGCAATGATGGCAACCAAAATGAAACTGGTGAAGATCATGATAATGGGCCAGACATTAGGCGCCGTGTTGATCATCTTCTTGTAGAACATGGCCCGCATGCGTTGTATGGTCAGTTGCGTCTTGGAAACCACCTGGTATTTGAAAGTTTGCGCTGCAGAATTGGGTGGCATTTATATTCAATCTGTAGCACTTATTTTAAGTTACAGAATAGTTCCCCTCCCCCAGCTGGCTAAATATAAATTTACCAAATTACCAAAGTATATTAGGTATTTCCCCAGGTGTGATGGCTTTATACGTACTGACATCCGGAATCATCTGCTGCTGCAGTCGAAACGAGGTGACCAGTGTCATGTAAATGTCGGAGAGTTCCGCACCCACCACTTTTACATTCTCAATGCCCAGCATCTTGCTATCGATCTCCAGGTGAATCAGTAGTTTCTGCAGCCTTGGACGGTATATCACAGGCAGCTTGTAAGTCAGCGTATCACCGATCTCATTTTCCGGCTCGATGTTCGGAATAACCTGGTTTATGTAGTCAGTGATGGGCTGATCAGGCACATGTGGCTTCTTGATAATGACCTTGAAAATGATACCGATACAAGTTTGAGAAGAAATATTTGAAATCACATCAGTTATAGATCTGTTCGTATAAAATCGTATAAAAGCGGTTCATAAATACCAGATCCACACTGCTGCTGAACTTGGCTCGCAAAAAGAAGGGCGTCCCACTGGCCTCCAGGACGCCCATGCTGAGGATACCGATGCGATCTGCGACGTGCTCCGCTTCGCCAACATTGTAAGTGGATATGATAAAGGCGCGATTTTCCTTCTCCGCATGGACAATAGACCAAAACATCTGCGCCTCCCGTCCCGTCAGGCTTGCGGTCGGCTCCTCCATTATAATGATGGGCGTATTTCCGGCCAAGCAGCAGCACAGCGCCACCAGTTTCATGGCGCCCGCACTCAGCTTTTCGACCCGGACCCTCCGACTCTCGACGTGCTGATCCAGTATGGCCAACCACTTGCGCCTCTCGATTTCGTAGCGGTCGGAATCGCTGGGCGACAGCTTAAGACGCACATGGTAGTCGATGGTCTGTTCCACGGTCAAGTGCTTGTTGAGCCCATGCTCATCGAAACGGAAGTCCAGCATGCGACGGGCTTCGCCTAGATGAATTTCTTTTTATGAGTATGAGTATGACGACAGCGTGCCGCGACTATTGGATACCCTCGACTCAGCTGATGGAAGTGCGAGAATGTTGGAGATATGCAGCAGGAATTGTGTGCTTAGGCATGCAGACGGAGAAGTCTCATTTCAATGAACTTTTAGTGGGTTTCGATTGGTGGGTGAGGGGCGTTCTAGTGGGCGTGGCCAACTTCCACTGCGAGGAACGTTTATACGAACGGACAGAGATGCGGACAGAGGGACATGGCCAGATTAACTTGGCTATTGATCCTGATTAAGAATATGTACAATGTATAGGATCGGTAATTACCTCTTAATTACGTATTAACGCATCACATGTACCCTTTTACTGTTCAGGATCAACCAACTTACCACGGGGCACAAAAATTTTGCCCATAACGAATATACTGCCGCGCAGCGGGAACTTGAGCCCGGCCAAAATCCTCAGAAGTGTAAGTTTACCGGAGCCAATGTGGCCGAGGATCACATACACCTCCCCACGATAGATTCGCATGGATATATTCTTCAGGATCTTCCGCTCCGTTTCGTGATGCGAAGTGCTGACATGACGCAATCGCATGAACTCCACACTGCCCACATCGCCGAACTCAAAGTTCTGGAAACTCGGAGCCTTGCCCAAATACACAACGGTGGCGTCCGAGTCCTGCTGCTTCCGGGGCCTATTGTTCACTACCCGCCGACTGAGAAAGGTGCCCGGCATGCGCCACTGAATCGCCAATAGAATCAGAAGGTAAATCAAGGCCGAACTTATGGCCGATGTGAAGATCAGGACGAAATCAATAGTGTTCACCATATCCGGTTCCTCGATGCAGTTCCTGAACAAGCTCATGCTGAAGTGCATCTGGCAGTTGAAGAAAGCCACCAGGATGAAGAACACGTAGTACTTGTGGATGTCCCAGTAGCGTTCCAGTATAATGCAGAAAGCCGCGTACATGAACAGCCAGACCATCAAGGCGAAAAGAACCGCATTTGTGGGATTGGCAAACAGTTTGGCCACCACCATTCCCGTGATAATGATCTCCACGGTGTACAGTATGATGAAGCAGACGAAGGCTATCGTTCCAATGCCGGAAAACTCCCCTTCTCGTCCCCCAAATCCCCAAAAAGCCTAAATATATTGTTTCAATTAGTATGGTACTATGTAGGTAAGTACGGTAAAGTGACAAGAACTCACTAACAACATTACTGTATATATGGCACCCAAAATGGACATTTTGAGAAAAAGCACCAAAAACTTAATGCCCCACTGCATGCCAAAGGAGTAGCCGTAGTGCCACTGATGCACCATCACTCCATCCTCCACCTGGGCAGCCACGTTCTGAGAAATGGCCAGAGGGCTTTCTAATATTTGATGTTGCAGTGCTTAGGTGTGGGCGTACTCACTCTGATGATATTCAGGAAGGGCAGAAGGTATATAAAGTTATACAAGAATGTGGGCAGCTGGGCGACACTCATCACGGAGCACGGCTCGTCTGCGGCCTGCATTAGGATGTTGAAGACCTCGACATGGGGTTCGGTATAGGTGGTGATCACGTCTGTGCGCAAACGGTGGTACCATTCGACAAAGACCTGATGCTGCAGCTGCAGGAAACCCTCGCGAATGTATATATCTTGTTGCTTATCATGTTTGGCCCGATCCCGCACGGGATTAATGCGACCCGAGCAGCGGGTTATCCACAGGCGATCTTCAGTGAGGAACGGTGTGATTGTGCGGAACTGGCTGGGGAATCGTATCGAGATGGATAGCATCAGCGGAGTGCCCTCATCATGGAGGTTATTGAAAACAATGCCCGCCAGGGTAGTCCGCTCGTCGAACTGATTTTGCATTTCGGACTCGCTATCGTAGCCCAAGGTTGAGCTCAGTTCCAGCGTTTTGGCCACTTTGTTGACCACGTCCGTTGTAAACGCCGTTTCGGGCGTGAAGGCTAGAATGTACTTGGGTTTCTCCCGCTTTGAGTCCGTCATGCGTCTGCGGAAAGTAATATAACCATGGTGGTATGAGCATAAAGTTGAGACCCTTGGTATGGGGCTACCAGCTTTAGATGGCACTACATTAAAAGGTACTTTCAAAATGACGATGCCATGCGTTCATATTTCGGATAGGTAAACCCATTTGAAGACCTTGCACTTACGACAATATATTTATGTCCTGCAGCTTGTGGGATACGATGCTCTGTTCGTCTTCATTCTCGGTGGTCGTGTAAAGTAGTTTCTTGGAGTGGGCGATGGGATTTAGAAAGATCACAAGGACCATTACCACCAGGGTGATGATCTCGAAGAGCGTCCGTTGCCACAAGTTTAACTCGATCCGGATGTAGCGCTTGAACAGGAGTCCCTTGGTGGCCGGCATTTTAGACTTTAAAATAGGAATTTAACAGACAACAGGAAATTGGCTGTGAGATCTGCACTCTCGCACAAAATGTAAAGTTAAAATGTTGGAGGTTCGAGTTTCGGCAGGGGATTTTGAATATAATTTTTGTTTTGATTTAAAATATATCAGTACTTTGTTCTCAAAGCACATTTTGATCAATTCCGTTCCCTTTGATACTCAATTTTTTTACACGTTGAATGATAATGTTGACTGATATTCAACTTTGTTTTTGATTAACAAGGTCTTTAATTCACATTTACTATTCACAATTAATAAAAAGTACATTACATACTCCTGATTTTTCAATAGCAGCGATTATTCTCAATTACTTTTAAATTTGTGTTGGTGATATGCAAATAAAAACAAGTAACTCTATAGAGATTCGACTATCAGATACCCCATACTCGCTAAAGCGTCTACAACACGGATATCGCCTGTTACATATATTTAGAATTTTTTAATGTACTTTTAAGCTGCTTTTTTAAGCAATTAAATTTCAATTTAAAAAACCTTAGCTAGGTTTCCCACCTATCCATTTTATCGATTCCGATTACTCTGTGACATCGGTAGCAAGCTGCAGTCCGATTTAGGGCATGTTCCATCTCCAAAAGCAAATGCCGAGTCATACAAAAACCGAGCCATACTAAAACCCAACAAATAAACGTTTTTGCATTGCGAAGGAAGGACGACGAATAATAACAAATTAATCTGTAAGCACGCGTAGGCAAACAAAATGACGGTGACGAATCGGGTATGTGCATTTGAATCCCCTAGCTTTTCCACCGTGGAAAACCAATGCTGATGTTTTCGCAGATGGAAATCGAGTCGGCCTACCAAAAAGGCGAGGGATTCCGGTCTTACTACATCCAAAAGATCGAGGAACTGCAGCTGGTTGTGGCTGAGAAGCACCAGAATCTAAGACGTCTGCAGGCCCAGCGCAATGAGCTCAATGCTAAAGGTAAATTTCTTACTGGATGCCCATTATAGGTTATTTCCTTTGTTGGTTAGCTAAATTTCATATCTTCAAAACTGGACGTGGGCAAAAAAAAACTAATTGGTGGGCAAACATGGGCAAACGATTCCAACTTTCAAAAATTCCATTTTACCGAACCCAGCTTCTTTGAACTGTTAGCTGTAGGACATACATATACATAATACATAACTCTGAAATCTCGGTATAATCCACAATCACGATAAAGGGACTTACACACATTTAAGGCTCTTTATGCCAAGGTAAATTCAAACCACATTTTACGGAGGACCAAGAATTTACTTTCTTATTTGAGATTTTATCATCATAGCATTTTACCATTGAGAACCGAAAGATAAGTCTTGTTTTTGGGCTTTACATTTAAGAAACCAATCCTAATAAGCACGTCTTTTGCAGTTCGCATGCTCCGGGAGGAGCTGCAGCTGCTCCAGGAACAGGGTAGCTATGTGGGCGAGGTTGTGAAACCCATGGACAAGAAGAAGGTGCTGGTCAAGGTGCATCCCGAGGGCAAGTTCGTCGTCGATCTGGACAAAAACATCGATATCAACGACGTTACTCCCAATTGCCGTGTGGCCCTGCGCAATGAGAGCTATACGCTGCACAAGATTCTGCCCAATAAGGTGGATCCGCTGGTCTCGCTTATGATGGTCGAAAAAGTACCTGATTCTACATATGAAATGGTTGGCGGCCTGGACAAACAGATTAAGGAGATCAAGGAGGTAATTGAGTTGCCCGTAAAGCATCCAGAGCTGTTCGATGCTTTGGGTATTGCGCAGCCGAAGGGAGTGCTTCTTTATGGGCCTCCGGGTACAGGAAAGACTTTACTGGCCAGGGCCGTTGCCCATCACACCGAGTGCACCTTCATTCGTGTCTCTGGCTCGGAGCTGGTCCAGAAATTCATCGGTGAGGGTTCGCGCATGGTGCGAGAACTATTCGTAATGGCCCGCGAACATGCGCCTTCCATTATTTTTATGGACGAAATCGATTCCATTGGCTCCTCGCGTATTGAGTCGGGATCCGGCGGCGATTCCGAGGTGCAGCGTACTATGCTGGAGCTACTCAACCAGCTGGATGGCTTTGAGGCCACCAAGAACATCAAGGTGATCATGGCCACTAATCGCATTGACATCCTGGATCCCGCTCTGCTGCGTCCTGGCCGCATTGATCGCAAGATCGAGTTCCCGCCACCAAACGAGGAGGCGCGTCTGGACATCTTGAAGATTCACTCCCGTAAGATGAACCTCACGCGTGGCATTAATCTACGCAAGATCGCCGAGCTAATGCCAGGTGCATCGGGTGCGGAAGTCAAGGGCGTTTGCACGGAGGCAGGCATGTATGCGCTTCGCGAGCGCCGTGTCCATGTCACCCAGGAGGATTTCGAGATGGCCGTGGCCAAGGTGATGCAGAAGGACTCGGAGAAGAACATGTCTATCAAGAAGCTGTGGAAGTAGGCGTTGATCGGCCACTACAAACGAACCTTATTTCATCGTCAATAAATACATCAGTTAGTAACAAATTCATTCTTGTGTCATTGGAATTACTCCTTATTCAATATGGTCTGATTTCCTGAGCAATGATATTTCAAGAATTCAATAGATTATCATATTATAGTTGGAGCTCTAGAAAAAGTACATCTAAGAGTGTTTTCATCAGGCTGCTTAATCATAATAACAACAAATTTGCTATCCATCTCTTTCTTTTTCAGAGCATGACGCTTGTAATGCTTGCGATATATGTATGTATGTACACAAATCAGGTCCGAATGAAAAGATTTCCTAAAATTCCAATCCATTAGATAATTGTAGAGGAAATTACATTCAAAATTGCATTTACGAATGTTTATTATAATTTAACAACTTAAAATGTTAAATATCGTAAAAAGAAATCAAATGCTTTCGAACCAAAGTTGAAGGGGACTTGTCGGTGATTTACAATGGTGCACAACACCTAGCAACTTAAGATTTTGGCATCACGATGCGGATCCAGCGAGTCGTTCTCTTTCCATTTGAAGCACCTGGCATATTTGTTCATCGTCAGCCACGTCGTAAGAAGTCTGTCCATCTGCATCGCATAGCTCCAGATTGGCCCGTAGCTCCAGCAGGCATCGAAGCGCCTCCAAGTGTCCACAACTGGCGGCGTAGTGCAGTGGAGTCTGTTGTTCCGCATCTCGCTGATCTACACTGGCCCCACTCCGCACCAGAAACCGAATGATTTCGACGGCATTGCGATCGGTGGCCCAGTGGATGAGCGCCATGCCATGCTCGTCCAGCTTAACCAAATCACCGGGCTGCAGCAGTTCCCTGAGCCTGTCCAGATTGTTCTCTTTCACGTGGTCAAACAGGGTCTTTTCGCTGTCCAAACGCTGGTCCTCCAATGGTGCCGATTCAATAGAATGAACGACCCAGCCTGGGTTGCGCCGGGACCGCCAGTTGGGTTGCAGCTCCTGCAGCTTCTGGACGTAGGCCTGCCTAGCAGCGAGGGGGGACATTGTGCCCAGATTGCGCCACGCCTGCCATTTGCTCTTGGCCTTCAATTGAAGCAGACCTGGACTTGGCTCCTCGCAGGGGCCAATCGTGGCCTGCTTGTAGTATCCGTAAAAGAGAAGAAGGTCCGCGGAGCCAATGCTGGTCGAGTGTTTGGCCACATGCTCGGTGGCTAGGTGAAATAGCTCCTCCTCGGGATCCGATTCGCTGTCCGACATGTCAAAAAAAAAAAAAAACTACTACGCTTATAAACTAAATGACAATTGAAGAGGGGAATCTAGGATTTCTGTATGTTGAGGTAGTTGCCCTCCAGTATGTGTTTCTGTTCGTTCTCGATCTTCTCCAGCGCGGCCAAACTGTTGAAGCTAACGAAGCCGTAGCCCTTGGAGCACCCCGTTCGCTTGTCAAAGATCACGTTCGCGGACACCACGCGTCCGAACTCGCGGAAGTAGCCACGCAACTCCTGGTGGCCCACTGTCCACGGCAGATTGCCCACGAAAATGCGGTGCACTGATTTTCCGACTTTTGCTACAGCTGCGGCGGTGGCCATGGATTCGGTTTTCCTAAATACGGGCAGGCTTCGCGTTAAATATGGTTCAATGCTTCTTGGGGCCAAGGCGACTCCTTACCAGTTGCGTTGCGTAAAAACTGCGGCGCTTCTGTTTCACGGTAACTTGCTGTTTTCGTCGGAAAAGCGGGCGGTCATAACCTCAAAGTGACAGCTAACAGCACTTTGCGATACTCTCTATATGTCTCGTACATCGACTTACGCATATAATCGAGAAACTACAGTGAACAACGTATTGATTACATATTGGTTTGAAAAAACCTGCAATGATTTTTAAATTACGGTACGCTTAAAATAGTTGATACAAAATAAAATGTTTGTTTTGTATATCTACTATTCGCTCTGTTGGTTTTAATAGATTTATTTTTTAGAACCGTTTTCATTATAATTCATCGTTATCGTGCCTATCAAAGTGTAAGCATTTTTCTCACGGTAAAATTATTTTTTTCAAATTTCAAATAGAGTATCAAATAGTTTATGTCAACTTACCAAAAGCAGTCTTCATTCATTATATGTGCGCTTAACAGCACATATTTGGCCCTAACAGTTTCTTGGTAGCAGTCTGTTAAACGACGTAATTCTGCAGAACAGAAGAGAGCGCCAAATTAAAACATCAGATTAATGAAAACGCAATGTTCTTGATTTTGCATGATTTTGATGTATTTTTGTAATTCTTTTTCTGATTTCGTGTTCCCTTTCTCATTTATTTCATTTACTTTTCAGTTTAACAAATTTGCTACAAACTACTTAAAATTAACAACATCGCATACACGTATTATTCTCGTTTTCCTTGCAATAAATAAACAGATATTGATTGTTATAAATGTACAATACGATAAAAAGAACAATTGGATAAGGGTGGGGTTAAGGGTAAGGGCGTGTGCAAGCTTTTGTTGTTTAGTTTAGAGTGGTGTATTTATGCTTTTGGAAATAACATTAACTATGGAAGCAGTTTTCACGTGTTTCTTTCCCTCTATCGCTTAATTTCTCTGCTGCTATCCTGCTGAATATCCTGTGATGCCTCGGATGATGTGCCACGATTTCTCAATTCTCAGACCAACTCGGTTCTCGTATAATTAGTGATTTGGCTCTCTAAACTCCCTATATATTTCTGTCCCAGTCTGCGGCTCATTAACCTGATCTGATCCGATCCTATCAGAATTAATGTGATTTTTAATTCTTTTTGCTACTTGGCTCGCCTTACAAAATATAACTTTTGCCTTACTTGCTTGCTTGTCGGTTGTTGTTTACTTTAATAGTAGTTTATAGTTGTTGGTTGTTGCTTAGTCGTAGATTTTTATATATATGTATAAATATATAACTTCCCCGAAAGACAAAAATCTGATCCATAGAAAAGTGTTATGTTTGGTTTGCAAGCAATGAAACTCTTGAAGATCTTCCATCCGTTTAGTTTTGTACAGGAAACGAGGGCAGAACATATATAAGTCTTTACAGAATCGGTTACATATTCAATAATTATCCATAATAATGATGTTCAGGAAAGTTTCGTAATCAACTAATTTGTATAAATATAAATATTTTGCTTTGTCTCCTTATCTCCACAAAAACAACTCTAGAAATTACAAGACTCTTGTTGTAAGCGGCCTTAGATTTAATTTATAATAATATGATATACAACTTGACAAATTTGTTCTTAATGTTGTTGCTTCGCTTTCCGCTTAGCTCCACTTTTATATATATACTGTGTTCAAGAGTTTCCATTTGATATTATAATCAAAATATACACGCACAAAACAAGCAAAAAAAATAATAATAATTCTAATAAAAATAGCTGGTCTACATATGTATATGGTCAAATATGCATGTATAGTTAGATTGTTACAAAATCTGTTAGTCTCTATACACAAAAGGAAAAAAAACCATCGCTTTCAAATCTGCCAATCTATCCTCAACTTTCTCTTTTATCTGTGTGTCTCTCCGCTCATCTGACTGAATAGTAAAAATAATAATAATGAAAAAATTCGTTAATGTGTCACAGCACCACCATGTTTGTTGTTAATTTCAGAAGATATTATCCCCACTTCGCTGGCTTTCATTGCTCCTCCTAAATAGATAGACTAAACTAGCGACAGGCGGCCCACCTGCTACCAGAGGCGGTGCAGGTGCAAATTCCTCGACAGCACCGATCTCACGTCGTTCGTAAACCTCAGCGCATCCAGCATGGGCAGCAGCGACAGCAGCGCCGTGTCCATTGGGTCTGAGAACCAACTCTTGATGGGTATGGCGTTGTTGGGAAAACAGCGATAGGCCCCGGGCGAATTGTCAATGATGAATATCTGCAAAGAAGCGTCGGTCAATAAGGAATCAAATTCTCTTTCTGTTCCATAGATACTAAATAATATAAATTACATAATAATTTGGTATCTACTTAATATTGTATTAAATCCATGTCAATTTGCAAGTTCTCCTCATTATCAAGTTGGACCGGAAGGCTGGCATGGAGTGAGTTGCAAGTTCCCGAGCTTACCCTATTTAAGTCACTGCAGATGGCCGACAGGTCTTTGGTATAGGATCCGTAGTCGGGCGTGCAGTGTTGTCTGTAGTATCGCCTCCGGAGGATGTTACGTCCGTTGTCCAGCTTGTCTGCCACCGCCGCTCCGTAAATCTCCATGCTGGCCGTAAAGACCACCAGATCATACCATTGCGAGACCTGCGGGGAATGGAAAGTTAGTTAATGTGGCTATATTCTTAAAACGCACGTCAACGTGAGGAAACTTAAATGCGGAAGTGCATCTATCTGTTTGGCCAATCCCTTCAGGAACTTACCACGTCAAGGAAGTAGTCCACATGCGGTCGCTTGTGCACGAAAAAGCGCACTGGATTCCGATCGATGGTCACTTTGACGGTAAAATCATGCGGCGTGCCCGGCTTCACCGTGTTCCGGGGCATCGCATTATGATGGGAGTGGATCAGCGTTTCGTCCAGGTCCAGAACGAGGGTCTTTCGCTGCACCAGGCTCAGGCGATGCCGCGAGACGGGTGACAGCGGGAAGAGTTCGTATTTAACCGGTTGATACTGGATAAACTAAGAAAGTTAATACATAATCAACGGAGCAGTACTTGAAATGCATTCGACATGGGGTTCAGATGGGGTCAGATGGGCTTGATGGTCATACGTCTATAGACTAAGCGGGTTTGGGTGCATGGGGATGTTGGAGGTGCTCAAGAAGGCTAAGTAATTGCCTTTATCGCTAGTGCATAGGAAACCCCAATTTACTGATTTAAGCATGATTTATTACACCGAAATGGAGGCCGTTATCATTTAAAATAAAATATTAAAAATGTGTTATTATTATTAGCTGTGTTTAACATATGTTGATGTGGATTCCGCGATATCTACATAGACGTTACTTGAGCTTGTAATGGTGGGTGGGAAAGTACAAGTTAGCAGGCCAAAGGTCAGTGCTTCTTGCCGCGTCACGATTTCCAAAAATGCCGGCCCCGTGGAGAACATTGAAGGCGGGTGCTCGATAAGGTGGATGGGTGAACAGTGGACAATGGATAGCACTTCTGGGAGGAGCGGGGATTCGGTGGAACAAGCCCCATTAAACGTGTGGCGAAAAATCTTGATAGAGACTCATTCTAACACTGGTGTCACCAGCTAAGCAGTACCAAGAAAAACTATAACTTAAAAATATAACTATAATAACTATATAACTATAAATAATACCTATAAAAATTATACATTTTACTGCGACATGTTTAAGATTAGAAATCTGGTGCATGTATGTATTAAAAGTTACTCTAAAACTTGTTCCATTTCACTTTTAAAAACTATCTTTAGGATGTGAAGTAATGTAAATATATTTCGAAAAGTTAATAATTACTTTAGGAATTGAATAGATTTTAGATACAAACAGCAAGATTATATTAACTCCTTAGAATGACTTTTTAAAGAATAATATTTCCCTTTGGATTTCGTTTCAGAAAACATAAATTTTATGAGAATTTGTTTGGTAACCAGTTCAAATACAATGCTTTTATTCGTACAAATCTTCAGATATAGTTCCAAAGTGAATGCATCACACCCTCTGTGCACTGTAGTGAGTACGGACTGTAACATTAAAATTGTTATCAGTGTGTCCGCTTTTATTATTATTATTCTGTAGCAGTAGTACTTGAGTGCCGATTGCGGGAGCGGGTTGTGGGATATGTTTTGGCGGTTTCGGGCGGGTAAAAATAAAACTATTTTCGTTTTTGATTTATTCCTTCTGCTTTGTGACAATTTCAGTACTTACAGCTCGCACTTGGCGATTGAACATGAAACAGATGCATGTCCATACTTTTGATAGCAACAACAAAAGCGCATGGAATTTCATTTGCAGCAGCGAAATCATTTGAAACAATTCAACTACTTGTACGGTGGTTTTTTTGTCGGGACGATTTATTCGATAAATCCGACCACGATCCGCGATTGACCGCGGTGCGAGCGAAATGGCGCGATTTGCAACCGGCTAAAGAAGATTCCTGCTTCTTCTTTATTTCTCCTTTTGCAGCGAATTGTTGTTGTTTTTGATAACGCGCCGAGAGCACACACACACCCACACCCACACACACCAGAACGCTGGCGCGCTTCACACACACAAACACCCGGAACAAAATCGATAACAAGGCTTCGAGTTATTTTGGTTGAAAATAGTTTTTCCCCAAATTTTCGCGGTTTTTTTGGGGTTCACTTATTAGTTGTCGCCTAGTTTTATTACCCCTTTTTAGGGCGTGAGGAGGGGGTGGTCTTATTTCCACTTCTTTTGGGGGCCTTTTTATAGCTGGCGTCTGCTCTTGTTCTTCCTTTTTGTTGTCTTGCACGCGTGTGTGTGTGTTGTGTTTTTTTTTTGTGTAGTTGATTTTATTTTTTGGCGACTATCGTACCGAATTGTGGATAGATTTTGTTTTTGGTTGAGCAAAACGAATCAATTGATTGAGCTATTGCACTTTGATTGCAGTCGATTGAGGGGTGCATTCGCTTAAAAAGTACTACCTATCCGCGGGCTGCTCATTACACTTTGGCGCTGCGGCTTGGCGTTTATTACATAAATATAGTTTGTCCGCGTTTCGTTTTTGTTTAATAAATTCCCTCACTCATGCACACACTCATGTTTATTCGATACTATCGCGCATTCGCAGCATCGATGATTTTCCGCAACTATCGGCC